GACTGCCTGGTCTCAGAGGCTGTGATATATATTGATTGTTGTGGTCCCAGAGACTGTGTAATTATATTGATTGTTGTGGTCCCAGAGACTGTGTAGCTATATTGACTGTTGTGGTCCCAGAGACTCTGTAGCTATATTGATTGTTGTGGTCCCAGAGACTGTGTAGTTATATTGACTGCCTTGGTCTCAGAGGCTGTGTAGCTATATTGATTGTTGTGGTCCCAGAGACTGTGTAGTTATATTGATTGTTGTGGTTTCAGAGACTGTGTAGATATATTAATTGTTGTGGTCTCAGAGAGACTGTGTTGTTATATTGGCTGTTGTGGTGACAGAGACTGTGTAGCCTATATTGATTGCTTGTGGTCCCTGAGACTGTGTAGTGATATTGATTGTTGTGGTCTCAGAGACTGTGTAGATATATTGATTGTTGTGGTCCCATAGGCTGTGACTGTGTAGATATATTGATTGTTGTGGTCCCTGAGACTGTGTAGCTATATTGATTGTTGTGGTCTCAGAGACTGTGTAGATATATTGGTTGTTGTGGTCTCAGAGACTGTGTAGATATATTGATTGTTGTGGTCCCAGAGACTGTGTAGATATATTGGTTGTTGTGGTCCCAGAGACTGTGTAGATATATTGATTGTTGTGGTCACAGAGACTGTGTAGTTATATTGACTGCCTTGGTCTCAGAGACTGTGTAGATATATTGATTGTTGTGGTCCCAGAGACTGTGTAGTTATATTGACTGCCTTGGTCTCAGAGACTGTGTAGGATATATTGATTGTTGTGGTCCCAGAGACTGTGTAGTTATATTGATTGTTGTGGTCCCAGAGGCTGTGTAGATATATTGATTGTTGTGGTCCCAGAGACTGTGTAGATATATTGATTGTTGTGGTCCCAGAGACTGTGTAGCTATATTGATTGTTGTGGTCCCAGAGACTGTGTAGTTATATTGACTGCCTGTGGTCACAGAGGACGTTGTAGCTATATTGATTGTTGTGGTCTCAGAGACTGTGTAGTTATATTGATTGTTGTGGTCCCAGAGGCTGTGTGGTTAGATTGATTGTTGTGGTCCCAGAGACTGTGTAGATATATTGGATGTTGTGGTCCCAGAGACTGTGTAGCTATATTTGTTTGTTGTGGTCCCAGAGACTGTGTAGTTATATTTACTGCCTTGGCCACAGAGGCGTTTGTAGATATATTGATTGTTGTGGTCTCAGAGACTCTGTAGTTATATTGATTGTTGTGGTCGCAGAGGCTGTGTAGTTAGATTGATTGTTTTGGTCCTGGGACTCTGTAGCTATATTGGATCTTGTGGTCCCAAGAGACTCTGTAGCTATATTGATTGTTGTGGTCCCAGAGACTGTGTAGTTATATTGACTGCCTTGGTCTCAGAGACTGTGTAGCTATATTGATTGTTGTGGCCCCAGAGACTGTGTAGCTATATTGATTGTTGTGGACCCCAGAGGCTGTGTAGTTATATTGATTGTTGTGGTGCCAGAGACTGTGTAGCTATATTGATTGTTGTGGTCCCAGAGACTGTGTAGCTATATTGACTGCCTTGGTCTCCGAGACTGTGTGGACATATTGATTGTTTCGTCCCATTGACTGTGTAGTTCTGTTGACTGCCTTGGTCCCATAGGCCATTGATTGTTGTGATCCCGGAGGCTGTGTAGTTAGATTGATTGTTGTGGTCCCTGTGGCTGTGTAGTTATATTCATTGTTGTGGCCTCAGAGACTGTCTAGTTATATGTTGATCGTTTTGGTCTCAGAGACTGTCTAGTTACATTGATTGCTGTGGCCTCAAAGACTGTGTAGAGATTATATTGATTGTTGTGGTCACAGAGACTGTGTAGTTATATTGATTGTTGTGGTCCCGGAGGCTTTGTAGTTGTATTGATTGTTGTGGTCCCTGTGGCTGTGTAGTTATATTCATTGTTGTGGCCTCAGAGACTGTGTAGCTATATTGATTGTTGTGGTCCCTGTGGCTGTGTAGTTATATTCATTGTTGTGGCCTCAGAGACTGTGTAGCTATATTGATTGTTGTGGTCCCTGAGGCTGTGTAGTTATGTTGATTGTTGTGGTCCCAGAAACTGTGTAGCTATAATGATTGTTGTGGTGTCAGAGGCTTTGTATATGGATTCGTTGTTGTGATCTCAGAGACTGTGAGGTTATATTGATTGTTGTGGTCCCAGAGACTGTGTAGATATATTGGTTGTTGTGGTCACAGAGACTGTGTGGATATATTGGTTGGTGTGGTCACAGAGACTGTTTAGATATATCAGTTGTTCTGGCCCCAGAGTCTGTGTTCTTATACTGACTTTTGTGGTCCCAGAGCTTGTGAAGCTATATTAGTTGTTGTGGTCCAGAGGCTTTGTAGCTTTATTGATTGTTGTGGTCCCAGAGGCTGTGTAGCTATATTGATTGTTGTGGCCCCAGAGACTGTGTAATTATATTAATTGTTGTGGTCTCAGATGCTGTGTTGTTATATTGGCTGTTGTGGTTCAGAGACAGTGTAGCCATATTGATTGTTGTGGTCCCTGAGGATGTGTAGTGATATTGATTGTTGTGGTCTCAGAGAGCTGTGTAGTTTTATGGATTGTTGTGGTCCCATAGACTGTGTAGTTATATTGATTGTTGTAGTCCCTGAGACTGTGTAAGCTATATTGATTGTTGTGGTCCCAGAGACCCTGTAGTTATATTGATTGTTGTGGCCTCAGAGACTTTGTAGCTTTATTGATTGTTGTGGTCTGAGAGAGACTGTGTATATATATTGGTTGTTGTGGTTCCTCAGAGACTGTGTAGTTATATTGACTGCGTTGGCCACAGAGGCGTTGTAGCTATATTGATTGTTGTGGTCCCAGAGACTGTGTAGTTATATTGATTGAGTTGTTGTGGTCTCAGAGACTGTGTAGATATTTATTGATTGCTGTGGTCTCAGATGGGACTGTGTAGATATATTGGTTGTTGTGGTCCCAGAGACTGTGTAGATATATTGATTGTTGTGGTCCAGAGATACTGTGTAGCTATATTGACTGCCTTGGTCTCAGAGACTGTGTAGATATATTGATTGTTGTGGTCACAGAGACTGTGTAGTTATATTGACTGCCTTGGCCTCAGAGACTGTGTAGATATATTGATTGTTGTGGTCCCAGACTGTGTAGCTATATTGATTGTTGTGGTCAGAGAGGCTGTGTAGTTATATTGATTGTTGTGGTCTCAGAGACTGTGTAGCTTATATTGATTGTTGTGGTCCCAAAGACTCTGTAGCTATATTGATTGTTGTGGCCCCAGAGACTGTGTAGTTATATTGACTGCCTTGGTCACAGAGGCTGTGTATATATATTGATTGTTGTGGCCCCAGAGACTGTGTAGCTATATTGATTGTTGTGGTCCCAGAGGCTGTGTAGCTAGATTGATTGTTGTGGTCCCAGAGACTGTGTAGCTATATTGGATGTTGTGGATCCCAAGAGACTCTGTAGCTATATTGATTGTTGTGGTCCCAGAGACTATGTAGTTATATTTACTGCCTTGGCCACAGAGGCGTTGTAGCTATATTGATTGTTGTGGCCCCAGAGACTCTGTAGTTATATTGATTGTTGTGGTCCAGAGAGGCTGTCTAGTTAGATTGATTGTTTTGGCTCCAGGGACTGTGTAGCTATATTGGATCTTGTGGTCCCAAAGACTCTGTAGCTATATTGATTGTTGTGGTCCCAGAGACTGTGTAGTTATATATTGACTGCCTTGGTCTCAGAGACTGTGTGGATATATTGATTGTTGTGGCCCCAGAGACTCTGTGTAGTTATATTGATTATTTGTGATCCCAGAGGCTGTGTAGTTAGATTGATTGTTGTGGTGCCAGAGACTGTGTAGCTATATTGATTGTTGTGGTCCCAGAGGCTGTGTAGTATATATTGATTGATGTGGTCCCAGAGACTTTGTAGTTATATTAGATTGTTGTGGTCCCAGACTCATCACCGGCCCAAATACCCAGTCCATAGAGGAGTTCAAAAATCCCATCGCCCGACGCCCGGGAGGAGTCAGTTTTCATTTCGGGCAATCAAGTAATGGTAACTTACTTGTTCGTGGGCTACTAGATAATTTCCACTTATGGTTTCAAACTGCAAATAAACTTTGATTTAATTTCATATCTGCTTAAAATGTAGCTATTAAATTTCGCAATGATGATAAAGTAGAGTTATCTCTTTGTTTGCTGTTTATCACTTTCCAATAAATAGTCCAGTAAACATTTACATCAAATACCATGTTGATTTCTTCTTTCATAATTACATCATCATACTTATGTCATAAAATCAGGGCAAGTGGAAAATTAGTCATGCCAAGTTACTTTCTTAAAGTCACGCAAATCATGAAAGTTTTTATTACATATTCCTTTAACCTAAATATATTCAGATTTAATTACCAGTTCACCTTGTCAATTTGTTCAGGTAAGTGGATAGTGCTACATAGTTTCATGCATCGTAACAGATATATCGTTCAATGACCATCAAATAGCCATTCCCTTTCACTGATTTTACCCACCTGAATTTGCAATACTGGACACAATTGCAGCTACCTCATGCGTTTCAAATTTTGATCCATGCATAAAGATTCAGAGTGACAAACAAAACAAGGCTGTATGACAAAATGATGGTCATATACTCATTATTTCAAACTATTTGAAAATAGAAATGATCCATGAACATGCAAAAATATTGAATCTAAATGCTTGCATGTGGCTTTAAGTGCACGATAACTTAAAAGGAGTTTTCTATTTCCACTGCGCATGTACAACTCAAGCTGTGACGTAAAATGCAGCTCATTTGCATGTGTAAGAGTAGATAAGGAAGGTGTTCCTGTTGCTTCCCTCAAATATGTATGTACCTGTACTTATTAGTATTTCTCTTAACAACAAAAATAATGATTATTTTCACATTAGATAAAGTTTTTGAAAAACAGAAAATAACTGTGTACATGTAAATGTTGCGAAAATTTGAATCTAAAATGAGTAAGTTACTTCCACTGCGCATGTACAGCTCAAATTGTGACGTAAATCGGGTCATACATGCAGCTCATTTGCATGTGTAAGAGTAGAGAAGGAAGTTGTTCCTGTTGATTGCGTCAGGTATGTATGTAACTGTACATACTAGTATTTCTCTTAACAACTCTGTCTGAGGGCTTCAAACTAACCTTACCTTAACAACTCCTTCTGTCAGTATTGACTAACGCGGTAACTTTCAGTATATCCTCATGGGTATGACATGGTGGAAAATGGCGACCACAGGCCCACTATACAGATGTGATGCAAGGACAGACGTAACTCGTCACGAGATGTGTTTAAGTTGGCGTTACTGGTGAAGTTGTGGCTGCATGGGGTTATTTAGTCATAAAAGGCGGTGTACTGACATGGAGGATTCATACAGAGAATGGTTGATATGACGCGATTCATATGGACTCATGGTAACTTATGGGGTGGGTTGTCTCATGTTCCGTGTATATTGATCACAACATCGGGTGCAAACCTGTCAGTATTCGTTAAATTCAACGTTGTGGTGTTTGATGATCGAGGAGTGCTGAGGTGAGATCCATGTGTTTGTTTTGTGTGTATATGTGTGTGGTGTCTGTGTGTAAACCTGTATATGTGTGCTTGTGTGTGTGTGTGCTTGTGTGTGTGTGTGTGTGTGTGTGTGTGTGTGTGTGTGTGTGTGTGTGTGTGTGTGTGTGTGTGTGTGTGTGTGTGTGTGTGTGTGTGTCAGTGTCTGTTTGCGTTTGTGTGTGTATGCTTGCTCTGCGTATGTATAACCCAAAACATAATCAGAAGACAAATACATATTGTATTGAATCGCATTATATTATATTTGTATAGCGCCAATATCCAGCTCAGCTCAGCTGCTCTAAGGCGCTTTGTTTTCCCTCAGTCATGGGATGAAAATCTGAACGACACATCTTATATTTCAGTCTCAACTCCCTGGGTGACATACAACTCTTGCAGCAATTTAGGCGCACCAAGTTAATGTGGCTTTCCCATCCTAACAAAGGTACCCATTCACAGCTGGGTGGACAGGGACACATAGCCACAGTACTTTGTCCACGTTTACTGTAGTTGCTGTACACGCAACTAGGAGTCGCATGTGGCCACCATCTGGTTATTTACCAACGTATTCGTGGGTTCTTTTAAATGCACACAGACGAAAAAAGAAACTGTAAAAAATATAACTTACTGAAATGATGGTGACGATAATGATGATGAGTGAGTGAGTTTAGTTTTACGCCGCATTTAGCAATATTCCAGCTATATGGAGGCGGTCGATAATGATGAGCAGGAAGAGGATATATCTTGATACTGTCTGCTCACTGCCACTGTATTATCATTTCAGGTTTCAGTCAAGACACGTTGAGGAAAACATGGCCGTAAGTTATACCCTGACCACCATATATTTTAGGAACTGAAAATGGATTTGTTAGAGGTGTCATTAAATATTCTGAAACTGACAATCGGTTGAAGCCGACTTCGAAGTATCTGAAACAGAATAATATATTTGCATGCAATTTATTATCAGAATTGATAAACACGAGAGAAATATGGTATTTTAAAGTTTGTCATTGTATTGTTGAGTGTAATCTACTAACCTATGGTTATACATCTTTTCCAGGGTCCACAGAGTATATCAGAGGAAGAGCGCCTGTACTTCAAAGGGATTAAGGATTCTCCACAAGGCCGTTGCCCCTGAACTACGTCAGCTGTTCAGGAGGCTATGGGAACAAGACAAGGAGCAAACCATGGCAGGACGACCAAACCTCAGGGGAATCGTTTTTTAATGATCACAAACCAAAGTCAGAAAATGGACGATATGATAATACAATTAAAACTGGCAACGTGGAGGCCTGGGATATGACAGTTTTGTGTAGAGCGTTTATTAACTACACCCTCATGAACAGTACGGACAGTGACAAAGTCAGCATCTTGAGAGACTTACGGAACAAATATGCTCACAATATCAGCTTGCGTTTGCATCAGGATGACTACGAAAAGGATATAGGTCAAATTAGGGAGGTATTCCAGAACCTGAATATGAACGAAGGCACCTTGGCTCAGACCGAAAACATCGAACCAAATGACACAGAGCGCCAAGAGCTTCTGAATAAAATGCAGTCGCTTAGGCAGGAACAGATAGAGTGCATAGAGGAAGTCCTAAACAAACTTTCTGCATTAGGCAAAGATATTCTGAGTACAACAGAGTCCCTGGGACAGGAACAGCGAGAGAGTTAAAGGAGGAACTCCTCAACAAACTGACTCTATCTGACCGAGAACATTTCGATGAACTAAAGACCATTAGACAGGAACAGGAGAGTTAAAGGAACTCATCAACAAACTTACTCTATCTGATCAAAGTAGTTCTACACAATGTGGGACTGGTCAAGAGGCAACTGGAGGCGAAGGCAAGCCAGATCAGGAAGACTCTTCAATTCCTGGTATGTTAACCGGCATTCTACAATAAACATGCTCAGTATCGGGTACGCTTTCACCATGGAAAATGTAGATCAAAATATGTAAATATCTCGCAATTTAGTTCAATACTGAGAAAAACAATTTAATATCTCAGTCTAGTTTGGTATGGGAAAAATACACACAGATTAGAGGTGCCTCGAAAAAACCCGGGTATGTGTAAGTATAGAGATAGCAGTAAAACGAGAAGGCATCGTTTCCAGGTGGGTAGGACTGGAAAGTATTAAAAATGAGAAGGCATCACTTGAAAATAGGTGTAGGAAACCCCCTGAACAACGCTATGAATGAATCCACGTGTGATGTTACGTTGTGCACATTAGTTATTAATTCATGTAATGTTTAGAAAACTGAGCTTATAAAAGTTACATTCACTGAGAGGATAAATACAAATGATTTAATTGCTTGACAAATCCAAACAAATCCTTAAAACTTTCTATGAAAATGTTTTTGCATTTAAAGGTTGGTTCCAGAGGTCTGTTCCGGAAACTCGACGACACCAGAAGTTGAACCCCAAAACATTAATGCAGCTTATCCCTTTTATTGGCGGCAACTGGGATTTTGTAGCATTGCAACTCGGCATGACTGCTGCCCAGATTGAAAAGTTCAAACGTGTAAATCAGGAATCTCTGACTTGCAAATGATGAAAACCTTCGAGAAATGGTTGCAGGCGAAAGGAGCGAAGCCACACTGGAGGCGTTTGTCAGAGCCTTGTGGAATTGCAACATTGTCTGTACCCTGGAATGGGATGGTATAAAGGACACCATCATAAATGGGAAAGAATGCACATTTATAGAATGTCCTTAGTTCTTGTTTTTTCCCAGGCGTAAATTGTACGTATACTAGGAACAGTAAAATTGAAAACAATTTGTCTTTCAAGTGCTGCTTGATAATGTATTGTTCTTGTTTAATACGTACTGCCATACTCATACGTTTGTATTGATTGGAATTGATTTGTGAACTAAATAAATATAAAAAGAATACAACTGTTGATTATATTTCATTGCATTGTTGTTTGTTGGTCTTACACCTAATTCTCTTACGGACTGATTCCGGTTACCTGTTTAGTTTCCCCTTGGAATCAACGTTGGAAACTTGGCATTTGGAAAGAATTATAACAATGTAGATTCTTTTGTGGCTAGTGTGTATAAAGATAAATATGACATATTCAACAGGACTGTTATCACGACACGAATTCTTGGAGCAAACATTGGCGACCTCATTGCGAGGATCATATCCACTAAATCTCACTGTCAATCAGCATATGACAACATCGTAATGTCATGAATAGTGTCATGTTACACTGAAATTACAAATAAATCTCTAAGGTTTCAGGACTATGAGACAAATGCTACAACCTCAGAGATATTGAAACTGTAAGGTCTTCAGGCCCACATAACACTCAACACAGATGTACAAATAAGAGACGTTTACTTGACGAAGACAAAGACATGCCTGAATACAATTGAGAAACAATCACACGTCACAGTTGATGAGTCCACGTGCAAGCACACTCTATTGTTGATGATGGTTGCGTTTGTGCGATGCTGTCCAAATACCGGGGAACAACCTCACAAAACGTACACTGCTCTTTCAAACAGTAAGCCTAATCTGCACTGAAGTGGAACAACGGCAGATGATGTCAAATATTCTCAAATACGACACAGTTTAAAGATCAGTCGATCCCAAACCTGTTTCAAATATTCTACTGTCATAAAGAACTCTACTTCATTTTGTCAAACGTTGTCAACAAACTCTCTGTTTGGGTTACATGGCATTACCATTGTTAACATTGGATAACTTTCAAGAGTCACCCTGCTGTAATATCCCGATAACTTGACTAAATTCTCTTTACTCCTTGAGGACCATATGGCTTCAACAGCTGTCCTCTAAGCTTGCAAGTCAGTGGCTATGCTCTTGGTAGCCTCCCCAGGTTAAGCCGGCTCCCCTTAGTTCCTTATCCAGGCTTCGTCTCAATGTTTGTTTTGGACGTCCTCTTTCCCTCTTGACTTTTGGATTCCAGTCAAGCGCTTGTCTGGTGATATTTGTTTTGTGCTTTCTTAGCGTATGTCCAATCCAACGTCACATTTGTCGCTTGATCTGAGCAGAGACTGGGTCTTGGTTTGCTGCTTCCCACAAGTCAAGGTTGGAAACTTTGTTCCGATAACTACAAGAGTCCAATACCGATTGTGCACCTCCCATTATACACGACCCATGCTACTTTGCCTGAATGACTCCTATTTCCCTCTGACATGTTATATTCGTGCGGTTTTACCGAACTGCTACTGTCATCAGATACGTTTTAGGAGTACGAAAGAGATGTTCCCAGTACTGAAAAAAATGCCTGTGAAGTTTTGTCCCTTTATAAACCTATGTTTAAGTGGTATTTGCAACAGCTCATTTACCGCTTTGCCATCTTCCAATCAAACGATGATGTTGTACAAGGGGAAGGACACAGTACAGAGTGAGTGTGGGTCAGTGTTGCTGCTGTATGTATTAGCCAAGTCTTTGGTAAGGGTAGCCGAATAAATATACGTCTGACGTTTCTCCTGTTCTATGGAGTTCTGGACATTACCTGCATTGGTGGGTATCTGTTCCTTACACATGTGATCATTCATGCTGAAACTGGTCTTCAGCAACCCATGCTTGTTGTTAGGTCAGGACCGCTGACGTTCTTGACACATATCATGCACAACATTGCAGTAACCATGATATGTTCAGATGCCGATGGGGCGGTGGGGTAGTCTAGTGGTTAAAGACCCGGGTTCGACTCCCCACATGGGCACAATGAGTGATGCCCAATTCTGGTGTCCCCCCGCCGTGATATTGCTGGAATATTGCTAAAAGCGGCGTAAAACCAAACTCAGTCAGTCAGTCAGATGCTGATTATCAATCACTTGTCTATGTGTTGAATAACGTTCGTTATGCTAAGTGAAATGTTATGCTGTAATCATTCTGAGTATGTAATGCTATGTTCTGTGTTGAACGATTAGTTATTTGTTTTTAGCATTGGTATTTGTATAGTGTAAAATTCTGTCATGGTGATCACCACTGGATTTTAAGGTTCAGTCTCGATTTTTTACAAATCGCCGCTATATAGCTGGAACATTGCTGATTGCAGCATTAAACAACAAAGAAATATGGATCAGATAACCAAAGAAACATAAGCAGGGTGAATGTGCGATTCGAATCTACGGTGTTACATTTCTCTATTGTTACAACAAACTGAACTTTCGACTGGGTCACCCGTGCTGACACGAATGACTGGTGACATGCTATCACTGAGTGTTACCACTGAGGAAGGAATAACGAGTGACTCACATTTAACATTGCGTGATCTTGACATGGGTTAACTACACTGTTTCATTAGTCTTGGGTACCTGGGTGTGTCTGGGATTTATCTCTTAAATAGGTTTGCCTAGACGAATGTGATGCATCGGAATGTCTTCAGACAGATTTGACAAGAAAATGTTTGCTCTTCAACTGCTATGCAAAATACAATCATTTTGAGTTTCACAAACACAACATAACACGGGACGGGTGCACAATGAACTGTTATTCTAGCATCTCATCTTATCATCTACCCATTAGTGGCCCAAACACTCAATATCGGCCCAAAACACTCAATATCGGCCCAAACACTCAATATCGGCCCAAACACTTATTACCCAGCCCCAAACACCCATCACGGGCCCAAAACATCCATTGCCGGTCCAAATACCCATATTCAGCCCAAACATCCATCACCGGGGCAACACCCATCACTGGCCCAAACACCCATCTCCGGCCCACACACCTACCTCCGGCCCAAAACAACCATCTCCTGCCCAAACACCCATCTCCTGCCCAAACACCCAACTCCTGGTCAAACACTCCATCATGTATGCAGTAGAATGCATTTCATACGGGAACGAATAGGATGAAAATTATGTTCCAGTTTTCCAAGTAACACAATAAAAGTGAAATACTCTATGAAATACGCAAGTCATCATTTATCTATTAAATATACCTTTATCCTGAATATATTCAGAATTATTTACAGTTTACTTTGTCAATTTGTTCAGTTTAGAGCATGGTGCTACATATTTTCTTGCAAGGTAACTTAAATTTCAGATAAATCGTTCAATGATCATCAAATAGCCATTACCTTTCACTGATTTACCCATGAATTTGCAATACTGGAGACAATTGCGACGGCATCGTGTGTTTCATACTTGGATCCATGCATAAAGATGCAGAGTGACAAAAAATTAAATACATGTAAAACAAAACCTCTCCACAAGGCTGTATGACAAAATGATGATTATTTTCTCATTAGTTCAATTTTTTGAAAACAGAAAATAACTGTGTATATGTAAATGTTTTCAAAATTTGAATCTAAAATGAGTAAGTTACTTCCACTGCGCATGTACAGCTCCAATTGTGACGTAAATCGGGTCATAAATGCAGCTCATTTGCATGTGTAGAGTAGATAAGGAAGTTGTTCCCGTTGATTCCCTCAGGTATGTATGTAACTGTACATACTAGTATTTCTCTTAACAACTCTCTGTCTGATGCTTCAAACTTAGCTTACCTTATTAACTTCTTCTTTCAATGTTTAGTCACACGGTAACTTTCAGAGCATAACTGGAAGGTGGAGGTGGCGACCACAGGCCCACAATACAAATGTGATGCAAGAACAGGCGTAACTGATCACGAGATGTGATTCAGATTGTTGTTACTACTGGTGAAGTTGTGGCTTCATGGGGTTATTTAGTCATAAAAGTCGGTGTACTGATATTGAGGATTCATACAGAGAATGGTTGATGTGACGCGGGCGACGTGGACGCAGGTGACTTATGGGGTGGATTGTCTCATGTCCCGTGTATATTCATACGGGTGCAAACCTTTCTGTATTCGTTAAGTTCAACGTTGTGGTGTTTAACGATCGAGGAGTGCTGAGCTGAAATCAATGTGTTTGTTTTGTGGGTGTGTCTGTGGTGTCTGTGTGTAAATCTGTCTGTGTGTGTTTGTATGGTTTTACTCCCACTGTGCCCACATATGGAAATGGGCAGTGTTAAAACAACAGAGATTGGGGTATAGTCTGTATCAGGCTAGTGGGCAGTGGTTATATATACTGAGTCAAAAAGAAACTTTGTTATTCTTTCTTCAGGGCACTATAAAAGAACAAAAGAGATGGTAAGATGGTTCAATTGTTATTATTTCATTGCTGAGATCTGGTGTGATGTATGCTCTATGCACTGACAGTGCCATAATCAATTCCATTAGGCTACACCGCCGTTCCAAAACATGGGTATACAGAATGTCAAGACACAAGAATAAAAATGCGAAATTTCTCAGTTCAATATCGTGTATGGCCGCCCCGCGCATTCACCACTGCCAAACACCGTCTCCTCATCGACTGCCTGATGCTTGTGAACACGTGGTTTGGGATTCTGCGCCATTGCTCTTGCAAGGCAGCGCCAAGTTCCTGCAAATTCTGAGGTTGGTTCCTAAGACCACAGAAGCCTTCTGCCAAGTGCATCCCAAACGTGCTCTATTGGAGTGAAGAGTCAGGGGACCCTCGATGGCCAGTCCATGACGTTCAGGGGTGAGCACCTGGTCGCGGTAAGCAGCAGCTGTGAGGTTTCCACGGATGACCAGAAGTCGGGAACGGTTGTTCCCACAGAAAGCACCCCACACCATGCAACTTCCGCCCCCGAATCTGTCGACTTCCTGTACACAACATTGGGCATACCGTTCACGACGTCGTCTCCAGACTCTATCTGCCAAACACGTGCATATAGAAGAAAACTTCGATGCGAAGTGCAAAACCTGATTTGGCACTAACGTCATTTGCACGTGACGAATGGATGGGTTTGAGTGGGTTTTGCTAACGTTTTCTAGAGTCGAAAGATAGGGATCCCATTTCGGATACATAGATGTATCATCAGAGAAATATTTTTCATTGTTTTTAAAAATTACATTTTGTAGAAGTTTCCTTTTGACTCAGTATACATATACATGACTGTGACATTTGTTCTCACTTCACTTTATTCTCAATAGACCACCAATGGTGGTATAAGGTACATATCACACACATCAATTATTACATACAGTCAAAATGGCGGTGGAGTATAACAATATATTGTAGAAAATCAGTTGTTGGTATAACATGTCTATTATCTAACTTTTGTTATAGTAGAAAAGACTAATAACTAATTCCCCTATTGTTCTACGGATAACTGCATTTTGTTGTTCCAAGAAAAGTGGGCACAGTGGGGGTACATCGTTTGTATGTATGCATGTGTAAGTGTGTGTGTGTTTTGCCTTTGTGGTGTGTGTGTCTGTGTATGTGTAAATCTGTATGTGTGTGTTTGTACATATATATGTGTCAGGTGTGTGTGTGTTTGCGTTTGTGTGTATATGTGTATGGTGTCTGTGTGTTTGTATATATGTATATGTCTGTGTGTGTAAATCTGTATGTGTGTGTTTGCATATATGTTTGTGTCAGTGTCTGTGTTTGTCTCTGTGTGTGGTGTCTGTGTGTGTCTGTGTGGGTTTGAAATGATGATGACGAAAATGAGGGATGAGCAGGAGGATATATCGTGATACTGTGATACCGTCGGCTCACTGCCACTGTATTATCATTTCAGGTTTCCAGTCAAGGCACGTTGAGGAAAACATAGCCGTAAGTTACATAATAATTGACCACAATATATTTCTAGGAACTGAAAATGGATTTGTTAGGGTGCTTCATTAAATATTCTGAAAATGACATTCGGTTGCAGCCGACTCTCGTAGTACCCTGAAACAGAATAATATATTTACATGCAATTTAGTATCAGAATTGATAAACACGAGAAAACACTTACTTCATTTGGACAATGTATCGATGAACTACATACTCTGATGCAGGAACACCCTCACCAATTTCACTGCATCTGATCAAGAGGCCACTGGAGGCGAAGACATGGCAGATCAGGAAGACTTTTCCTGGGTATGTTTTTATCTCTCCTGTAAACAAGCTTCGTATTTGGTAAACTTTCACCAAAGATGATCTATATCAATGTACGTAAATGTCTCTTTAATTTAGTCCAATACTGGTGAAATCTCAGTATACATGTATATCCCATGAACGTACATTTTAACTAAATTTCATCCTTGTAAATGTTATAAATAGACAGTGGTACAACATGAGAAAACTATCAGGTCATTTTAACATATGGTATACTCAAGTCAAGTATGGGAGAATACCAATTGGATAGTTTCTGATGTTGTCTTTGCATATGGGGTTGAAGAATGGTTCCAGGGAGTGTCTCATGACCGCCAACAATTGGTCGTTTCTGATTTGCTCATCGGGAGGATCACACCCACACGTCGGTGGCTGCATGGGAGCTGATAGCAGCAGAAATGAACATCTCCAAACCCAGGCGAGAAGCTATAATTGCCCAAACCCCAAGATCTATCTCGCTTCCAAGTTAAAGTTGCATCTCACCAGGTGGAAACAGAAGAACTCACGTCAAGCAACGATTGCGTCATTAATCAGAATCTTGTGGACGTGCAAAGAGCGTTGCACCATAGGCTGGGAAGGTATAGAAGCTGAGGTGATGAAGGGGATTTGGTGAGTAGTCTCTGGACTATCAAACCCGACAGAGGATAACAAGCTCTTCTTTCTAATGATATCCCACCACCTGGAGCTAGTGAAGGTTCAACTATATGCATCAAAGACACGTTGTTATTTGATCTTCTTTTTATTTTTTATCTACTTATAAACCAAAAGTAAATAAACCTTTGAAACAGATTTCAAATATGTTGGCTTTGTACACACAACATGTTCAACCAATGTGTGTATACATACATATATACATTTGTACATACATACATATCTACGCACGCACACACCCACACGTACACACACATACATACTTTCGTGCATGTAGTATTGTGACTGATGGCCGTCCAGCAATGTAATATGCCCCTCCCTCTCGCCCTCTCGCTGTATGCAGCTACACACACTTCACGGAAACACTCATTTATGTCACGTTACTACCGTGTTATCACTCACCAGATATTCAATACTTCAAGCAGAGTTATTACAAGAGATATCACTGCAGTGACAAGGAGTAGCGTGCTGGTTATTAAAGGGCTCGATTCTTGACGTAGTACAGTGCGTGTAGTGTGGTGAGTCTCGTCGTCGATATTACTGAAAACTGTGCAATACAAACCCCATTCACGTGCATGAATGAACTAAAAGGACACGTGTCAGCAAAGCGTTGGTTTATGCTGTAGAGAAAGAGACACACACATACTCACTCTCACACACGTAACCGCATACCATCTGTTTTGCTTTGGGGAATACTTATGGTTAAAGCTTTTTACTCTTCACCTCGAAGATCCGGCTTCGATTCCCAGCACGGAGTAGCCCGGTTCAATGTGTTCGGTGTTCTCTTCCCTTCACCCCCATTGTGATAATGCTAAAAACAACCTGAAACCATACCCAATCACTCACTGTGTCTGCCCACCTACCGCAACGTTATTTACTCTGCTGACACTCATGTTGGAAAACCCCTTCTTTATATAGTAACACAATGGAAATCCCCTACGTCTATGTATAGAAACCAAAGGCGCGTGTATGCAAAAATAGCTCAACACCGGAGAGCGATTGAGGAGTAAACCTTCAAGCCGGTGCTTAGGTCATTTTAAACTGAACTTTATTACTATCGTGCAATCATATGATATAATACTGAGACTTCAGAATACAATATAAAATGTGTCATTTCACGACACTTATATCGAAAGTCAGCAGGAATGTTGCTTTTGTTTATCGAACTTACCCATCCTTGCTTTTTGAGTAATGTTATTCAAATGTAAAGCCTGATTTATCGACATTCTTGAAAGCCGTCAAAATGAAGAATGACACCCCATGCACGTGTATGGGGCTACTGCCTTGTGCACGTGCATCCGTTGTGTTTAGGGATAGCTAAGATAGATAGCGTTCACTAACATGTTTAGGGGTGGTGATAAAGAGAAATGGTGGTGCGTACATAAGATGTCTTCCTTTGAAAAGTTTGTTAACGCTTATATTTAGGTTCCCCTACATTTTTTAAGGGCATACATACACCGTTTATGACCACTTATAAATATCTATAAGCCCAATGGCTTCGTTAGTCGGTTTGTAAGCCTCACATAGAATATCAATGTCTGCACACAAAAGAACTGGCATTGGCAAATCAAGATCTGGAAAGTAGGATTCGTTCACAAATTTTGTGAAACAAAACTTTAATTATAACACTGTAAGATGAATTGTAATCGGAAACACACTAAACGTTCATCTTGTTCAGTTAGCTTGACCCTGAGCTACTCTACATATGCCTGACCCGGGAGGTCAAATGGCACAAACGGCAGGTCGAGTTAACTTAATTAAATAGGGGAGCAGAGGATGTCATCAATGCTGCGTTCGTGCGAAACAGGGGCGGTGTGGTGGCCTAGTGGTTAAAGCGTTGGCTCGTCACGCCGAAGACCCGGGTTCGAATCCCCACATGGGTACAATGTGTGAAGCCCATTTCTGGTGTCCCCACCGTGATGTTGCTGGAATATTGCTAAAAGCAATGTTTTAATTGAATTGTTTATACAGTCATATGCTATCTAGGTTGGTTTACTAACTTTACAATGTACAGACGTCAAGTTATTTTCACAATTGATGCACTCTCGCTGTCACTCTCTACATCTACATCCAGTTCAATTATCACTTTTTCTATTTCATGTTCAACTGAAATATTTCTGTCCAAGTAGTCGCCAAGCAGCAATCAGTCCACCCGTTTACACCAATTTCAAGAAACCTCTCCTCTGCGGATTTCTTCGTATCAGTTCTATTCTGCCCGGGGTTGCACTGGAAACACAAGATGCTGCTGCTGCTTCTGCTCGTTGCCTAAAAGCCCGCATCGGAAACATTAAACCGTCTGTAGCTTATTTTTTTTTTTTAAGTTAGGACATTGCTGACGATTTCTCGACACGAGATGTCAAACGGCGACCTGGTCTCGGCTGATCGGACATGTTGACAATCAACTGACAAAGGTGCACCCCTTCACTATAAAAGAGCCAACCAGTTGTGGCACGGTCAAGCAATGCATTAGTATTCACTTGATGAGATCAAGTTGAACAAGCTGTAAACATGCAAACGATGTTATTTGAACCAAGTAAATACTACTTTATTATATCGCCAGCATGTACAATCAACTGATGCATGTATGTATGTATCAAATAGCAACCATCCAGGGCACAACCTGAAGACATTTATTTCATTTTGAATTAAATGCACAAAATACTTTGATGAACCTGAAGATTAATACACGAAAGATGTTAAAGGATTTACGCAAACGTTCTGAAATAACGTTTTTGTGGAGTCAGTTTTAATGAGGCTTGTTGAAGATTCACAACAAATTATCATTCATTGTAAACTCTCACAGTTCCACGTATGAATGCTCGGCACACGTGACATTTGCGCAAAGCAGGTGCGCCAGTCCATGCACGTGACTAGATGGGCACACGGTAGAAACAGGACGCAACTGGTCTTCTCCAGACAGACCTTGCAGAGGCCTTCATCTTGTAGCCCTGTGGTCTCCTGAACCTGGTTTTGCTGGGGTTCGGCAGTGGACTCCACGGACTCCTGGGCTGGGGACAAATAGGAAATACTCACTTGTCATGTGAACAATTATGGCTATGTCAATATTTTATTCATTGCTGATGGAATATTAACTATTGAGTCTTCTAACAACTCCAACGTTACTAGGAGATAAACAAACAGCCTGATTTCGTTTAGGAAACCAACCAACATTGTAATCACCTAGGGTGTATGTATAACTATGATGTATACGGCTTATAAATCCCTCGTTAGTGAGAAACACGGATGTGTGTTGGCAGCACCTCTCTATATTATACAGGTAACCCTCATCATACCCAACAAGAATACTGATATCGATAAATAGTACATGAAGCTACAAACGGGTCTGCTCTTTATATCAGCTTAATTATCTTGAACAGAAACATTTCCAAGTTCTGAAATACTCCTTTCGTCCGAAATTGAGGGAAATAAATTATAACAACAATTCACAAGAATTGGTTCTTCATCAATGTAGATAAATCAATGTCACAAAAACCAAATCTCGATAAATAATCTAACGTAAGGTAGTTCCCTTTATTAAAACGATGATCAGCCCTGAGCATCACTGGATGAGCATGCATGTGTATGTATATACAGTTAGTATGATTACTATTATTGATGCATCTGTCATGTACATTCTGTGTAAACACAATGCACATCGTGACCACCAACACCGGCGTATATAGGACTTACCGAGCACTGTGTGTTCTGACATGGTTACCCTCCTTGCAATGATTGTATATAGGACTTACCGAACACTGTGTGTTCTGACATGGTTACCCTCCTTGTAGGACTCATACTGAACACTGTGTGTTCTGAGACATGGTTACCCTCCTTGTAATGATTGTATATAGGACTTACCGAGCACTGTGTGTTCTGACATGGTTACCCTCCTTGTAATGATTGTATATAGGACTTACTACTGTGTGGACTTACCCTCCTTTGTAATGATTGTATATAGGACTTACTGAGCACTGTGTGTTCTGACATGGTTACCCTCCTTGTAATGATTGTATATAGGACTTACCGAGCACTGTGTGTTCTGACATGGTTACCCTCCTTGTAATGATTGTATATAGGACTTACCGAGCACTGTGTGTTCTGACATGGTTACCCTCCTTGTAATGATTGTATATAGGACTTACCGAGCACTGTGTGTTCTGACATGGTTACCCTCCTTGTAATGATT